ACGCTGCCTGAATTTGCGGCCCGCAGCGCCTGCAAAGTGTCACAGGCGGCTGGCGAAACTGCCGACGGGGTCCGACGCTGTTCGCGCAAGTGGCCGCGGAGCCGTCGGAGACGCAGCAAGGCCGCGTCGGCAGCGGCGGCGGCGGCAACATCACCACCCCCTCCCTGGGTCTCAGGCCGCTCCGCCATCCAGGCCGCGGCTGCATGGGACCGCTCTGCCATGGCGGGCTTGCCAAGCGGGGCGGATGACCAAGTTGGCATCGCTACGCTGAGCAACGCTCGTGCGCCGTCGAGGCCGTGCATCCCGATCGCCTGCGGGAAGGCATCCGCATGCTGCGCCAAAGCGGCCGTCGCCACCACGTGCGCACAGGCTGCTGCGCTCCAGCGCGCGACGGGGCAGCCATCCAGGGGCGGCACTGGCTGCGGATCAGCGCCAGCTCTGCGAAGCCTGCGCACACCGTAACCTGCAGCGCAGCATACATGGCGAGGCCGAGGTCATATCGCTGATACCAACCGCCTGGACGACGCTCTGGGCGACTAGGTGGGGCAGAACGTAAGTCGAGGTGGGACGGGGCGCCGTGCGAGGGAATGTGTGTGTCGGCCCAGGTGCTCCGAACTGACCTGTCCGCACCGTCATCGCCAGCAACCCATCGACTGCAGCCGGCCAGCCAGCAGCTTGGGCCGCTCACGCGACAAAGGCAGGCCCGCCCAGCCGACGGGCAGCAGGCCGGCCCCCTGCGTGGCTGCAGCATACCATGCATTGACCGGCCCAGGCCTATGCTGCAGGCGGCGAGGGTGGCGGCCTGGCAGCCCCAAGAGAGCACCCGCAGGCGCCGCCGCCCTGCCCACGCGGTGGGCACCTGCCAGCAGGTGCACGTGGTCGGTGGCGGGCCCCACGAGCTGGCCGCGGCAGTCGTCGCCTCGAGCCCCGGGGGACGAGGCGGCGCGCCTCTTGCACGCACCGTGTGCAGCGGCGTGAGCCGCCAGTGAGTCCGCCAGCTGGCGGACCAGCGCGCAGCGGTGGCCAAGGGCGGCGAAGGACTGCCGCGGCGCTGGCGGAGGCCCGGGCACCCTCGCCTCGCCGGCACGGGCGCCACTCCAGGGGGGCTCCCGCGGCCGGCGCTGGCGCGAGCGCTCCAGAAGCCAGCGCAGGCCGGTGAGGCAGGGGAGGCCACCTCCCAGCCATCGCAGGAGGTCCCAGCACCACGGACCGCGCGCCCCACCCCAGCAAAGGGGTCTGGCCCAGATGGTCCCGACAGGGTGCCTGGATCGGCAGAGGCACGCCGCTGTTGGCAGCAGACTCGGGGCCCGACCACATGGTCCCCTCCATGGGGTCCCACTCCTCGTGCCCCCGCTTCTTCGTTATCTTGCGTGGCCCCCGTCAGCCGTTTTGAATACACGCGCCAGGTCTCCTTTCCTCCGTCAAACAAAACTATATGACCGTCCCGAGCCGCCTCCTCCTCATCCCTTCTTCCCCCTCCCTCCTCCGTGCTTCTCCTAGTCCTCCCTCCTCTGGCCCCGTCCATCTCTCTTCCTCCTCCTCCTCCTCCTCCTTCTCTTCTCTTCTCTTCTCTTCTCTTCTCTTCTCTTCTCTTCTCTTCCATCTCCTTCTCCTCCTCCCCCTCCCCCACCACCATCTGCGTCGAGACGACCTGTCACCTTTAGGAGAGAGGGCCCCTGCCTGAGATAGGACGACCTCCGCGGAGTGCGAGTCGCTGGGGCTCTCCTCGCAGCCGCAGCCCACGCAATGGGGGCACCAGCCACGGAGGGGGGATACAGTCGGGGCGTTGACACAAGGAACCCTAAATAAGGAACGATGCCCCGTTTGCAAAAAAGTTAAACTTCGATTTCCCATGGGAAACCTTAGGGAAACCTGAAGCAAATTGCACAACAATCAAGGAACACCGAGCCCTTCCCCAACGAAAAGGGTTCCTTCTTCAGCTCCCCGACTGTATGATGACCTGGGGAAGGGGCAGCAGCAGAAGGCGGAGGACAAGTGCAGTCGAAGTCTTGGGATGCGGGACACACTAAATCTGAGGCCCGCTTTTGCCCACGGCTGCGCCCAGACCTGGGAAGAAGAGACAACCGCATAAACATAACCTCTCGGAGCTCCGCGCGGACTTCTTGGATCGGCGCTGGACCCCCACCCCCTGGCTCACGGGGGGTCCAGCGCAGATCCTAAAAAAACCTGCGCGGAGCTCCGAGTGTGCGTACAGCAGGGGCCTTTCCACAAGGAGCCTTTCACAAGAAACCCAACCCTCAGACCACAGGACGTTCATTCATGTTTGGTGTGGGGACGTCGCGCTTTCCACTGCAAAACCATCGAAACCCAAGAAGCCCAGGGCACCCTGGGGGCAAGCAGGGTGTTTCTTGGCATGGGCCTCCACTGTATGTTTTGCCGTTGCTTTCTGTTGTCTTTCGAGGGAACGCCGCCTTGTGGGCGGGGCGCCCTCCGTTAATTGGTCTGCAGCCGTCGCTGCCCGGCCCCTCGGCGTCCGACG